CAAAATTTGTAGTTCAGACATTGCTCTTTCCAACAAAAAAAAATTTGATTGGTTTAGAAGTTGGCAATATGGTCTAATAGAGTCGAACATTTGTGCAAAGACTTTTGCACCGCATGTTAGTCGTTCGTCGGTACCCCTCATGGGAGGCACTTACGGTCAGCCGCTATTGTCGTAAAGTTTACTTCCTGAAAACATCATTCTATCTTTTTAAATCTGTCCAAATAACATTGTGTCTCACTCCACAAAATTATTGGATTGTCAGTAATAGGATTCTCGATTGCAAGTTGAACATACTAGGGCTATTATAAAATCACCAATAGATACAGTACGCTGCATCAACGCTTATAAAATATCAATGGCAGCAAGCAGTTTATTGTTCAACTTCAACAAACCAAACCGAACGTCGATGAGACATGCAAAGTGAGCTTTTCTCACTTTCAAACAGAAAAACTCTGATTGGATGCAAGTTATGCTTCAAAAATATTGCTTGGCTGAAAATCGTGCGTGAGAATAGTGATACGACGAAACAAACTTACACACAGCAAGCAGGTTAAAGACTGAAATTTGGAACAGAAAAGAGGTTTGGTCGAATGCTGGATATTCCCAACATTTGTTTCATGAAGTACTCAAGGTGTAAAGGTTGACTGAACAAGACTCTAATAGCGAAAATATTTGTTTCACTGAAACTTCAACACAAAAGACGTAATGGAACGAGAGGAAAACAGGAAAAGAATTTGATTGGCTAAGAGTATAGCTAAAAATATAAACAATCATCTTACATAGGGAATCAGATGTCTCGGATATATGCCGGAGCACGTAATTGAAACAAACATAGATACGTATACACAAGCAAACTCATTTTATTTTTGCATATAGCCTTTCTTTAAGCCAAGGAGACATACTATTTGAAATATTGTCGATCATATTAAACATTTTTGAAGCGATTTACAACGATTTTAAGAGATTTTAAGATTTCAAAAGATTTTAAAAGACTTTATAAGATTTAAGAGATTTTGGATACTAAAATCTGCCTTTTTCTCTTGGGGGACACCCGCACCCTCCAACATTTGACTTTTTAGTGGTGCACAAAGTAAATCTTAAAAAGGTTCGATCGTAGTGTCTTTAAGTTCTATGATGACCTATGTATTTCAAGGAAAAAAATATAAGATATAGGATCCTTCACAAATCAATGAAAAATCGACTTCTATATCTCTTATGATATTCAGATGATCTTAATTTTCCCGAGACTCGTGTTTGCGCCATTTCTGTTGCAAAATACGTTCGTGTTTGAAAGATTTTCACTGTCACAAGTTTATGTTCAAGTAAAATAAATAGAATATTTGGAATCAGTATTAAAAACTACATCGAGTAACATAGATTATATCAACAAAACATTTTCCGCGAAATTCAATCGGGAAGTCGATAGACGAGATTATATCAAAAGAAAGAGCTGAGAGGGAGTAGAGGCTGAATCCGGACAAAAAAATTGATATAATCTATGCTACTCGATGCAGTTTTTAATACCGATTCCAAATATCCTATTGATTTCACTTGAACATAAACTTGTGACAGTGAAAATCTTTCAAATACGAACGTATTTTGTAACAGAAATGGCGCAAACACGAGTCTCGAGAAAATTAAGATCAGCTGAATATCATAAGAGATATAGAGATCGGCATTTCACTGATTTGTAGAGGACCCTACATCTTATATTTTGTTTCTTTGGAACACATACGTCATTATAGAACTTAAAGAAACTACGATCGAACCTTTCAAAGATTTACTTTGTGCACTATCAGAAAGTCGAACGTTCTCAAGCTCTCATTGATAAATTGATAGAGTAATCCTTGCTCTAGAAAATGGTAAAAACTACAGATAGCTAGCTGCTCTAATCCTCAAGTTATTCGAAAAGTGACCGCGGTTATTGTTTTTTTGAACAGACAATACGACAAAAATTAATTGTGCTATGTAGTACGAAAGATTATTATATTTCAATTTTTACCAAAACCAAAAATAAAAATTTCTCTAATAAATGTGAACTTTATTTTATATATTTATGCACAATTATATAATATGAAATAAAGAATAATTATAAAAAAAAAGAAAAGATTTCAATAATCTAAATAAATAACATGCCATTACATATATATTATCAATCTATGTGTTTTTATTTACACACAATCAAAATCAGAATGCTTAGCACCGACAGGCATGGCTGTAGAATAAGAGATTGTCCTTTATTGTACCAGTAATTACCACCAGTGGCATACCATCTTTGACTTTCGGGCAGATATGGATTGTAGGGTGTATTAAGATAGTTATTAGGTCTTTGCCATGCGTTATTATTATTATTATTGTAAATGTATGGTTGTAGTGATTGTTGAAGTGGTGTTGGTCGATTCGAATTTATAAGATAGCTACTAAGACTAGAATCAGGATTATAACTTATCGGTATTATTCCAACATCTGGACGATTCTGAGGTTTTATAAATGTACCATAATTCGGATCAGATCCAACACCTAGATATGAACGAAGAAGACAATATACATAAAAATTGTTTATCTGTAAAAATCATACACACCATAATAGTAGGTGCCCGGAAAAGAACCACTTGGATTGCTTGCCCAAGATGCTCGTTCTTGAACAGGCAAAACGTTCTTCTTTGAAGGATTCAATTGTCGACGATAACGAGGATGCCCATGTGCTACAAATATCAATATTTATATTTATTAAATTTCTTTTTAATATTTACTTATTGCTGTAATAAATATAGTTACAAGAAAGAGTAAATATAAGTTTGAGATCATTTTTGGTACGTATGCGTTAATAAACAACACTGGTCAGATCGCGTCGTTTTCCTTTTTTGTTCTATGTAAGAAGGCCAATGAGAGAGAAAAAGAATTACGACAATCGTTGTAACTTTTCTCTTTCTTTTTTCCATTGCACATGTACTATTTCTTCTTTCTTTTTTTTCATTTAATTCACTATACCATGTTAGGTTCACAGTTTTACAAGAGAAAAGAAAAAAACCAGACGGAAAGAGAATGAATAAATTTTCTATCAACACGTCGATTCAGTTACATGATTCAGCATACACAAGGAGAACGAGTGCAAGAAAAAGAAACAAAGTCTAACAAAAGAAAAAAAGAGAAATCTAGCGCTGACAGAACATATACGCTAGCAGACGTTAATGAGCAAATAATTGAATATAGAACTACCATAAAATACATTAGAATTTCATCAAAATTCAAGGTTTTTTATTTCAAACATCTGTGTACACCCTACCATCACCACGAAACAATAGCAACAAACGAAAAGACAACTATCACATAGATATATTTTGATACAACTATTTGCTTTGACAAAGCAAATGTAATAGAATAAAGAAAGAGCATATAGGTTCGAGAAACATTAGTTATGGTCCGTTTACACGTCTTCTATCAAGAACATGTACGTAATTCTTGTAATGATGGATGACAAAATTATATTTTTGGATCTTAAATTATTCTTTACTAATGTCTTTTCTTGCTATCTATGGTTATTTCTTTGTTGTAATTAAAGAAATAGTTAATTAAAAATATAGATAAGATACATATATATCTATTGGATATCAGCAATTGATGATCAGTAATATGCACTTAATAACAAACATACTAAAATAACATGTGTCGCAATATGCGACACAGTACATGACACATTCCAGTGCAACACGAGGTGCTCGTTGCAACACATTCTCGCACAACGCATTCGTCATATTATCTGATAGACTTCGAATCTACTCAATAAAGTTCTTTTTTGCAATCACATTCAAATAGCGAAATTGTTCCACATATTATTTTTGTTTTATCTCAAAACTAAATTTATACACTTAAATTCATTTGATTTTGCAGGTTTTTTAAAATTATTTGTATCACCTATCTTATCAAAGAAGCAATACAATACTTTTTTATATAGGCAATTTTTTTCGTCATATTCAACAGCTAGGTTTTAAGCTGCTGTAGTTAGTTTTTTCCGCAAAAAAGTTTTTGATTTTGATGTTCGTATCATTTTCATAAAGTGCAAAATAATCTAATATTTTCCATATTGGTTTGTTGTATCGTAGAAATTTAGTATCATATACGTAAAAACTTGCCAACGATACAACTAACATGTGTATGCCATATCAATATCACTATCAGCATCTAATAAGATTCGGTTCCAACAAGTAAACTAATAATAACTTCTATTACAACGAATGCAGAAATAAAGAAACGACGACAAATTTTCTTATTTAATCAACGGGATACGATTAATCTCGTTGACTTCATCAGAAATCTAAAATATATAAATTGCATAGAAAAAATAGTGAAAAAAAACGATCGATAACATATACTCATTTAATGAAGTAACATCAATAAAATTACTGGAAGAATCAACTAAATCATATCATAAGTGTGCTTTAATCAAAGTGAAAAACTGTACAAAATTTATATGAAAGACATTGCTCACTCTGTATATCATCCGACAGGAGAAGAAGATATTTTCGAAAAATATAAGTTTGTTGATTGCAGTGGCGCAGCCGGGAATTTTTAAATCGTGAGTCGTATTCCACCAAAGTTATTCTGAGCAGTGTGTAGCAATGAGCAACTAAAAGTCAATCGGATTACAATTGTTTTAAAACTTATTACCATCACAAAAATCGATGTTTATTGAAGAGAAGTTCGTTATTTTCAACTGAAAGACGAGTTTGTTTATTCTTTTTTTATTATTTCACAAATGAACTCTTTAACCTTTAATAGCATGGGGCACTATAATAGCTATTTTGGTCCGGCCTTCCTAAAAGTTGTATGTTCCGATCAAGTATTCTGTTATAATGGAAGGATATGTTTAGGATTACATACAAAATTTTAAACCTCTATGCCTCCTACAACATCTTATTCTTGCATTTCGTTTAGCTTATCCATACATCATTTTTTAAATGATTCATGAGAGCTATTTCGAACTATAATTTGAAGTGAGCAGAAAATTGGTTCAACGTATTCGGAAAATGATGTCCTTTCAATACAGACATGGTACGATCAAGAAGTATCATATCAGAGAGTTCACAACAGATTTCACGAATTTAAATCGGGAACATTCAAGTTGTCGCTTAAGATTATTTGTTCAACTGCTGCTTACATAGAATCAATTGATGCTATCTGAGCAATAATTGAAGATGGTTCTCACTGAAAATATGAGTTAACAAAAGACACTCGAGGCATAATTTCGCCAGCAAGCATTTCAATTTTTCTCATTTGTTTAAAACTCTACTAAGTTCATGCTCGATAAGTGCGTTATTAGCTTATTGACGACTGAAAGTGATTTTCGGTTCAATCGTCTCGTCATTTTCTGAAGAGATTTGGAGGGATCAGTGTCAGTTTTGTATTTGACATTATCACTACTGAGCAATCATAGTTATATGACTAGAATCGAAAATACGTAGCATAGGCGAATATTCAACTGCTATAAAACAAGTCACGAGCAGCTAAAGCTCATCAAAACAAAAGTTCAGACAAGTACATCACGTCATTATTTTTTACAAAATGTAACTGAACGAAGCCCATTCCACTTGAATCTAATAGATAAAAGTTAGCCGGTTCATAGATGCCTGACTTAAGTTTTCAAACTGCTCCAGAAGAAAAATAAAAGATCGGTATTTGATGTCCCAACTTTCACTCTTAAAACACAAGCCCATCAACATTATGAACTCGTATTGAGTTTGGTGCATTGAATCATATGGAAGTATACGCTGATCGAGCATATTCGACAGACCTAAACACACGTGAATCCTCTATGGTGTTATAACTGAAATATCAACTACACAAAACTAGATTCAACAGCAGCAATCCAATATTTCATATGCTTTGAGCAACCATAAACGCCCTCTTAAAAATTTATTTCAAACTCTACTTAGACGAGCTATATTAATCGAGAGCACCAATCAAAGAGTGAAAACGAACTAAATTCTAACCGTTTGGTTCAGTTCGACTAGATCCAAACCGAACTCGAGCTAATTTTCTGAGAGACAATAGAATGCAGTCTAACCATAAATGAACACTGGTTGATTGAACTATTATTGATTTGAAATAGATATGATTCTGTCAGCGAAGATAAAACGAGCTTCATTGATTTTCTTACGTACCTAATTTAATCTCCGTGTATAGTAGTCTTGTTGCTTCTTCATTAGAATTACACTAATTGTGTTTGTAACGGTGGGTCACTTCTATGTGGCATAATTCCTTTATTTTTTTGCTTTCGTAAATATTGCCATTTTTCTAAAGTGTGATAAAAAATCGTGATTAGTAGTGTGAGATTGATATCAACCCTAAAAGACAGCCGATTCTCATATATTAATACAAAAAATTATTTTAATTCATAAATGTATGAATTAGTGTTAATCGATGCAAATATCAACTCTAGTGTGACACCTATGATCGCATGAGAAACAGATTCTGACCTATAGTATACTCCTGATAAGGTGTAACTACTGCTACTCGAATTGAACCGCACGCGAACTAATTGTTCAAAGACAAGTCGAATCGAACCGAACACGAATCTTTTGTTGAAAAGTGAGGTCTAACCGAAACAAACCCGAACCAAATTTAAAAAAGTGGACTTGAACTGAACTGAATTCGATGCAGAAAAACTCGGTTCAATTCCCTCTCTGGCACAAATGCACTGTTGATGAGGAGTGGTAGTTTGAAAAATCATAATAGAAAAATCTTTGAGCATTTTCCAAAAGGCTAACGATAAAACTTTTTAGTACCTTTGTATTTGAATATATTACGTCAAATAGCACAAATAAGCACAAATAGAATCATTAGCGAATTTAAGTGGAATAACGAGTATTCTGACAAAGAAATGCTATTGAATTGTGATCATCAGATGAATGGAAAACATAATTAATTGATTTTTCTAGATCACTGGCTTAGATCATAACAAGATACAATGCATTAAAATGGCACCATTTAGGTTGTTGTACTTGTATGTGTATCCACATACTTTCGACATTGGGCACTAGATATAATTTCAAAAAATCCATGGGCAATTAATTTAGAATTCATGGGTGATTGCCCAATGGCTGTAGCTCTGGCTACGTTCCTGCTATATACTATAGATTTTATAACGATTCGAATTAGTGAATTCTCCACTTTGGCACTTTATACAGCCGTATTGACAAGTTTTTTCATCCTCTTTTTCCATAAGCCGCACCCAGACCCTTTCCGAGCTTCTTTCTCTCTCTTTCGTTAAACACAGTAACCATGTTGAATTGACCACGTCATTATTCAATCGTCAGTATATATTCAATTTTTGCGACATAGGCCCGAACACTTCGATTTGAAAAACTGCACCATCCATTCCGAAGAAAGCGGCTCGAAGAGTCGCTGTTTTCCAAAGCTTGGTGTAAAAGTTCGATCTGTGCGTTGTTAGCATACTGTATTTAACGTATAAAATTGGTCGTCCTCAAGATAGCATCCACAGATTGATCAAAAAAATGGAGACACAAGTCAAATTTTCCTTCTCTTATTTGACATGCGTATCTCAACGACCAATATATGAAATCTCTAACGACGGAACATTCCCAAGTGATCCGCTCCGTTTACCTTCATATTTGGTCCATATGTAGGGCCTATTGTAGTAAGAAAAATACTAAGAGGATGTGGGTCCTTGTTGTTTCTTTCGAAAGTTATGACCGTTTTTACTGATTTTCGAGCCATTCATAGGTGTTTACCAAAATAATCAAATTTTGAATTTTCTACTTTAAATTTTGTCCATAGATCGATCTAAT